GGAGTAATTGCGTGGCTTCTAGGATGTTCTAAATGGTAGTTTCCCAAAACAGGGGGACCCCAATATAGACCCCAATATATCATAATCCTTATTATGGGGACCCCTAAAAAGGTACCCATAATTTTGGGAAACCCCCCAAAATTTGGAGTACTGCCAGGGTTTCTCTTTGAGGGCTGCTGACCGTTTGGTGGCGTTCTGTGCCAGACTCAGCTTATCTTCGTCTGCAAGGTCCCAGCCTGTCTAAACGCACAAGAAGACTCCTGCCCCCCGGATACAATATGTCCTTACGAAAGAAAGTAGCCCTTCGAGAATTACCTTATATGGCACGATCGGAGCAATGCACCGGAAACAACTGATCTCAGGTACTAAGAGAGGCCATCTCGGCTCTTCCGCCAACGCCTTAAAGCAGGACGCGACAGATTCTCGGGGGATGCACTTTTTGACGCAGAGTGAGGGAAGATGCCGCAGCACCTGTGTTAGGTTGAGACATTGTATTCTGAATATGCGGGTCAAGTGGTTCGGCGCATCTTGGAGTCTTCTGAGGAAGGATATTTTTATTGGATTATTGGTACCCAATATTACCCCAATAATGGAGAATCAAATGGAAAAGAACGTGGAAAATGAAATGGAAACTAGGGAATATATTGGGGTTATATTTAAGCTGCTGGTAATAATTGGCATTGGTTCTAGGCCGTCGGGTCTTGATTCTCGAAATTTCGCATCTGCGTGCTTTACTCCAAATCCCAACTCCTGGAAGGATATGATGCTACAGCCCACGTATCTCGATTTTTTTGATTGAGATGGTAAGTTCTAGACTCTGGACCCAGAACCCTATAGAGCCTAAGCCATACACCCCAAGCCCCAAAGTTCTGACGTCCAAACCCCAGCAGCTCAACCCTGTACCCTGAATACTAGTTTCCATTTCTTTCCATCAGGAATATCCTAAACCCTGTATATTGATATACATGTAATATCCCCTACATAACCTGATATACCTTCGGAGGACCCCCCACCCTGTAAGAGTGGTATGATAGGAATACAAGAGGACCCTAATATAATCCTTATTATCCATAATAGTCACTACTACTGGGTGAGGGGTCCACCTAAGATATACCATCATCCCTCTACCCTATACCCTACACCCTAAACCCTAAACCCCAATTTGAATTGACTTGTGGCTTCTTTGCCGCCTGTCTGAGGCGCGACCCTGCGCCAAGGCGTGGCTGCTGTGGGCTTTATGTAGCTTTTGTTTTTAAGGTGTTTAGGGTTTAGGGTTTAGGGTTCAGGGGTGGGGGGTGTGGGGTATGCAAGGGTTATACCGGTATTAAAAAGCGGTGTATAGGCATATACTGACCTCCAAGATGAAACAGATAGAAATCAAGTAGAATCTGAAACAAAGGACTAGGGCTAGACTTCACAGCGATCGGTTTGTTAGGGCTTGGCTCCGGGGTTGTGTATTCAAAGTTCTGTGCGCAAGGTTGGCCACGAACTGCGCATTGGGATTCTTGAGGCTTATAACGGTGATTGTGTTCTGCCTCGCTTGTAAGTACAAGAGTCTGTGGCGTGCTGAGGATGTTGGAGGTGCTGGTCTTGTATAGGGCTTACTTGTGCAGATATCTCACTTTAAGGAACGAAGCATACCGGGCTTTCAACGAGTAGGTTTTGAGGTGTTAGCCAGATGTGCAGACTTGCTCCATGATGAATGCCAGGGAGGTTAATGGTTCAAGCCTTGGGGATTTTTATCTATGAGCGCTTACTTCCCCAACTTCATGGAGGGAAGACCTTTCCGGGATATCTGAGAATTTTGTATGGATTAAGAATCCCCTTTTGTGCTACGCACGGAACATCTCGCCAAACTCGCTGATACATGTCTAAGGCCTACGGCTTCAGGCTCAGCATGTTAGGGTGAAGGTTCCAGGAAGCACGCGAGAAAGTA